TATCTCGGAATGTCAACCTACAACATCTAATGAAAAAAACGATGAAAAATTAGAAGATATTAAAGAAATGATTAGATCATTAAGTTTAAGAATATGACATAATCATCTAGTAATTCCCTAAAATATTTTAAAACACTTGAAGGATCATATCAAAATACAAAACCATGTATACCAGATAAAGAAATGATTATAGAAATACCACAAAATTTACCGCAAGGAACAATATATAATATTGGTCTTAATTCTGAAGAAGATAAATCAGTAGGAGATAAATTAAATATAATTAGTCAAAAATTAAATAATATTATAGAAGTAAAAAGTTTAATTGTATTAAAACAAATTCCTGAACTATTACAAAGTTTAACTCAACAGAAGATATTACTTGAAAAATATTTAAAAATAAAAACTATTAAAGAAAAACCACTTACTAGCAAACGACCTTTCACATGGTAAAATAAAAATTATGAGTAATAAAACCCAAGTATATTGTATTTACGATAATAAATATAAAGTAGATCTACTTAAAAAATTATGGAAAGATTTAGAAAAATCCACAAAACATTTAAAAGAAAAAGAATCTGAAGTACACGAACTAATTTCTAAAAACAAAAATTATACTGCATATCAATTAGTTAAGATTGGAAGATTAAAAATTGAAATTAATCATTTAAAAATAGTAATAAAAATATTAACAATTCAATTAATTTCTTTCAGACGCTTTAATAATTTGTTAAAATGAATTCGAAAGTACAAATTAATTCTTCAAAAGATAACATGCTTTGGACTAATATATTAAAAAACCATTGGAAAATAAACTCTAATATCTCTAATACCATTCAACATTTAAAAAATGTTTTACTATATGAAGAAAACTATTTGTTAAAATTACAACCAAAGAAAGAAGAATACAATAAACAACTAAAAAAGATATCTCGATTAAAAGAAAGAATTAAGAAATATAAAAAATCACAAAACCGTAATGTTTCAACTATACTAACAAACACAACTTGTTAATATGAAATTTTCGCAAGAAAAATCATTAATTAATAGAAATTTATAAACTAACCTCAATGAGTAAAAGAAAAACAAATATTAACCCAAACAGTACCTTTATTACAACCAAAATACAAGATAAAGAATTTGTTTCGTATATAGATACAGGAGCTACTTTATGTTTTGGAAGAAGAAAGATATTAAAAAATTGGGAAAAATTAGAAAAACCATTAAAAATTACAATTGCTGATAAATCAATTCACAAAATTTGGTTCGTAGGAAGAGATATAGATATAGTAATTGAAAAGGCACCATTTAAAACTCCAACTATATATCAACATGATTCAGGAATAGATTTAGTAATAGAAAATAATTTCCTTAAATTATATCAGCCATTTATACAAACAAATGATCATATAAGTCTCAATCATCCGACAAACGGTATCATAAAAACTGCAATTATCAAACATTATGATCTTATTAAAATAATCAAACAAGAAGTTGGTTTTCAACTACGCATATTACTAACATTTGTTAAAGAAATTGTTGAAAAACAACTTGAAGAAGTATGTAGCGAAAATCCGCTAGATCATTTAAAAAATAGAAATAATAATATTATTAAAAAACCCTAATGATGAAATTAATGTTCCAAATAAAATCCCATACAGTATAAAAGATGTTTCTGAATTCAAACAGGAATGCACTGAACTATTAGATAAAAGAATCATTCGACCTAGCACGAGTCCTCATTCTGCACCTGCATTCTATGTAGAAAATAATAATGAAATAAAACGAGGCAAACGAAGAATGGTAATTAATTATAAAAAGATGAATGATGCTACTATAGGAGATTCATATAAATTACCACGAAAAGAATATATTTTAGAAAAAATAAAAGGAAAATACACATTTTAGTACATTTGATGCAAAATCCGGATATTGGCAATTACGTTTACATGAAAATACGAAACCACTAACCGCTTTTTCATGTCCTCCTCAGAAGCATTATGAATGGAATGTCCTTCCATTCGGTTTAAAACAGGCACCAGCAATATATCAGCGATTCATGGATGAAACTCTAAATGGTTTAGATCATATTTGTCTTGCATATATTGATGATATAATTGTTTTTACAAAAGGAAATGAACAAACACACATTGATGCAGTCATCAAGGTTTTACAAAGAATTAAAGAAAAGGGTTTAGTTTTATCAAAAAAGAAATCAAAACTTTTTCAATCTACAGTTGAATATCTCGGTTTAAAAATTGGAGAAAATGGTCAATTATCATTAACAGACAATATACGAGAAAAATTAAATATGTTTCCTGATAAACTTGAAAATAGAAAACAAATACAACGATTTCTTGGTTGTTTAAATTATATTGCAGAACAAGGATTTTTGAAAAATTTAGCGAAAGAAAGAAAAGTTTTACAAAAGAAAATATCAGAAAAAATACCTTGGTCTTTGACCAATACAGATACTATTTTGGTACAAAATATAAAACAAAAAATTCAAGTTCTCCCTACTTTATATAATGCAAAAATCGACGATTTCCTAATTGTAGAAACAGATGCATCACAAGACACTTGGGCAGGATACCTAAAAGCAATTATACGTGGAAAGATATTATTGGGTTTAGATAGTGAGGGAAACCTCATATCTAACTCATCAAAAGTATACAACGATAAAGTATACACTGGTATGAAAATACCATCCGAAGTAAACAATGATAAAGTATACAGTGATATGAAAATATCACCAAAAGCATACACTGATACAGATGTATCATCTGAAGTATTAAAAACAGATAAATACGAGCAAAAACTATGCAAGTATATATCGGGAACATTTTCCCAAACGGAGCAAAATTACAGCACACATGAACGAGAAACACTAGCATGTCTCAGAACATTGAAAAAATGGAAAGTTGAGCTACTTCAAACCAGATTCGAATTATGCACAGATTCTAAATATTTACTCGGCTTCTGGCGGTATAAGTTAGAAGAAGATTATTGTCGAGGACGATTAATCCGGTGGCAATTACAATTACATCAATTTCATCCATACCTCAAGTATATCAAAAGCGCCAACAATCATATAGCAGACATGTTAACAAGAGAATGGAAGCCATCAAAAAGAAACAACTAAAAACATAGAAGAAATACCATTCATGAAAGATTAACGTCAACCATGATACAAACAAACATTATTAAAAAATATGTCTTTTTGGAGGCGGGAGGGATGACGTAAGACATGACATAAGAAACGTAAGACATGACATAAGAAGTCATTATTAAAAGGGATGCATTATTGAAGACATGTGGCATTTCAAATATGGAAAAGAATTGTAATTTGTCTTTTATAATTATGATGTAAAGTGTCGGTAGAAAAAAATAATTGAGTGTGTATTATATTACTTGATGTAACATAAAGTATGCAAGACCTTCAATACTCTATGGGGCATTATTGTAACTAGGTTTGTCATATTGCAATCAACCGATTGCAATTCTATTATTGTACTCGGCTCCTTTGAGCCTATAAATAGGGTCTTTGCCCATATGGAATGAATAAGCTAAATTTGAGTGTTATAGATTTGAGTTGTTCTCAATCTTCTTCTGTTGAAATAGTTTTCTATTTCTGAATAGCAGAACCCTATCCAAACATATTCATATAATCATAAACAATCAATCATCAATCCATCCCAACGCATCATTCAGGTACAATTCTATCCTAATTATATTAATTCCGTCATGTCTGTAAATTTGGAGCTCCATCTCAACCATGCTGCACTTTTACTCTGATGTTTAAATGATATAATTACTTTGATTGGTTTTGGAACAAATTGTTTGTATTGTTTATGGTTTAAAAATGAAAATTTTACTATTAATTTTTGGAACGTTTCAAATGATCCTTATATATGTCCTATAACAAAACATACAATTGAACAAGATACTAAGTATTGGATTATATTTTCTTTAAAACACTTATTTGGTCAAATTCGTTTGATCGTAAATCGCATTAACCAAAGTAAAAACAATAAAACATCAATTGAAAATAAGAGTCATATTCAAGGTTAAAATGTATTAAAAGAAAGGGTAAGTTTTACCCGGAGTACGACTCACATCGAACCCAAACCCGTCTCATGACCCATGAAACGAGGTAAAAACAAATAAAACAATAATAAAAAATTTATATTCAAGACTAAAATAGATAAACTAAAAAAGAAGGGTATAATGCCAAACCATGACTAATGAGTTGATATACTTGGATCATATTTTGGTATTGCAATTTTACAATATAAAAATATGAAGTCACATTATATTTATATGCTAATATCTATCAGGATGAGGTTTAGGTTCAACCGTTCAAGGATGAGAAGTATCATCATCCTCGGTTTCGTTCTTGGGGGACTCCCTATCCTAATCCCTAGTCAACCTGATGGCAATGTGTTAACTCATTTTTGGCTATCAGTTTTATTTCTGTCGAGATATATAATCATGAATTTGTAAAATGACAACAAGTTTCATTTAGCAAATTGCCTTTATTGATTAAAAAAAACAAAAAAAAAAAAAAAAAAAAAAAAAAGTAAATTGCTGAAAACGTTCATATGCATTGAGGTTTTGGTCCCTGTCCAAAGTAATACGACTAGTTTGTCATTTGATATTTTCTTTTCATACTTTTATTTATTTATTTTGATGTTTATGTATGATTAATCCTTGTACAAGTGTTTGGCGTATCATAAATTGAAAACTGACTTACTGACCTGTTTGTTGTAAAGTGTTTGATGTTTATTTATTTTATATAATTGAACGAGTGTCTTAATCGTTTCAGTAATCGCCATCAACAATCCAGAAAACTTTCACAAACTATTCAATTCATAGTTTAATACTTTCATTTGTAAACGATCAATTGAAAATTTGAAATACACAATAACATAATTGTAAGAAGTTTCTAAAATGCAAATCACTAAAGCCCACTCTAAAGCCCAAATCATAGAAATCAAACGAAGGCGAGAATTAAAAAAATATACAGAAACACTAAAAAATCAAACAAGCACATTGAATCAAAACACCATATGTGGTTCAAAATTTCCAATCAAACAAAACAGAATCTATTTAAAACATAAACATTTCAAAATAACAACTGTTTTCATGACATCAAAAACACAACTCTACCAAAAAAAACAAGCACACAATGCTTCTTCAACGATTGGCCTTTGCAACCCTCTCAATCTCATCCTTTTTCTTAATAGCATAGCTGCACATTTTATAAACCAGATTTATTTCACATCTTAAACCAATAAATCAAAATCTCATTTCGTAACTGCATTTATAAACAAAAAAACAAAGATCAAATTACCTGTTTGATGAGCCTTTTGCAGCATTGATAAGCTCATCAGCAAGACACTCTGCAATAGTCTTGACATTTCTGAAAGCACTTTCTCTAGCACCAGTAGTAAGCAGATAAATAGCCTGATTCACACGTCTCAGGGGAGAAATATCCACTGCCTGCCGCCTCACAACACCAGCAGAACCAATCCTGGTTGCATCTTCTCTTGGCCCACTGTTTATATTTACATAAACACCAAAAAAATGTTGAATAACTTTAATCGAATTGGAAATAGAAACAAGAAAGATGTAATCTTTATATATATACCTGTTGATAACAGCATCAACAATGATTTGGATGGGATTAGCATCGGTTAAGAGATGAATGATCTCCATGGCATGTTTGACTATGCGAACAGCCATTAATTTCTTTCCGTTGTTTCTTCCGTGCATCATGAGGGAGTTGGTTAATCGTTCAACAATGGGGCACTGGGCTTTCCTGAATCTTCTAGCTTGATACCTTCCTGCTGTGTGTGGCATGTAAATTGGGTGTTTGGAAGCAGTCGCAGTGATGTAATCTTCCACAGAGAGATCCGGAACCTGTTGAGAAATTACATATCTTTTGTTCAAAGTCGTAAACAGAATCATGTTCTAACCAACATCTTTCTTTTAGTGTTGTATGGAATTAGTGATTCATGGAGATAGTTTTCGTCTACAGGAATAGGAATTAAGAATCTATGGGTGTTAAATGCAAATACATGATTTTACACTGAGGTATATAGATATTAACCTGAACATCGTCGTAGGTCCATCGGTTGAAGAGCAAAACTTCGCTGCGACTCTTTCCATCTTCAACAACAATAGGAGCTACTTCCGCCATTCTTGCAATTCCCTATTTAACAGATTGAAAACCGATTCATTATATTATTGCTACCACAAACACTGAACAACAATAAGACTAAAGACTAAAGTGACTAAATCGAACATAAATGATGAACATGGTTTAAGTATCAGAGAAGTCGCTAACCTCCGATTTCTTGGTGGCAAATGCGTGCAAAAACTGGTGCTGCAAATCGCCAAGCTCCGCCTTCAAAGAAGAAGAAGATGAAAAAACCCTAATTGGGTTTTTATTGTGTAGAGTAGAGGGATAGCCGGATAGGGCTTCTTCTCTTTCTTTGGGTTTACATCATGGGCCAAATTAAAAAGCCCAAACTAGCTTATCATATTTTAACTTAACTTTATTATAGAGTAATAAACAAAATTATAAAGCCTGACATTTTATAAAATAAATATGTAGAAACTTAATAACAACACAATAATAATTTGGACAACGTAGAATATGAGAAAATTTTCTAGCTCATGTACCTTTCATTTTTGCAACTTGATATTTATCATCATTCGTTAGCATAACATACGTTATACAAACTTTTAATATTATACAACTCATTTTGGCAATGTGGATACTTTTGCTATACTTCACAGGCATTATATTTCAATTAGATCAATAAAAAGGTTGATACAATCATACAATATTAATTGGAAACAAAAGAACATTTAATCTTGTTTTGAGATAACTGTTGGGTTGGTGAAGGCATGAACAATATGTCGTGTCTTTTATAGTTCAAATGCTATAGTTGTCAATTGGCAACACTTGCTCATTGGGTGGCTTCAAAGTCAGAGTTTTTCGTTTGCAGTTTTTTAATGGTTTTATTCTGTGTGTTTTACCTAAATCGTTTATCGTTTGTTTGAAGTTTAACTTTGTTAAATTCTCAACAACAATACAAAAAGAGCTTGCAAGTAAGTAAACTATGTCGTACCAAATGGATACCACCTCCCTATATACTACTACTCACTCATAAATGAACATATACGGTTTAATTACATTATGGGTTAAGATCTAGCATCTTCAAAGTTCAAAACAATTGCATTTTCAAGATTTTCTTGAAAATCCCATCTAATTTTAAGATTCATGATGCTATTTGCAAGAGTAACAAAACACTAAAAAGTCATTATTGGTTAAGATCTAGCATCTTCAAAATTCAAAACAAGTGCATTTTTGATATTTTCTTGAAAATCCCATCTAATTTTAAGATTCATGATGCTATTTGCAAGAGTAACAAAACACTAAAAGGCCATTATTGGTTAAGATCTAGCATCTTCAAAGTTCAAAACAAATGCATTTTCAAGATTTTCTTGAAAATCCCATCTAATTTCAATCAAGATTCTATTTGCAAGAGTAACAAAACACTAAAAGGCACCCCTTCAACATCCCTCCCCTACCAATTCCAATATTTTCTTGTAAACTCGATCTAATTTCAATATTCATCTTATTACTATATTTGGTAAGTAAGACCAACAAAATTTTACAAAAGAACTCTGCAAATCTTAGCCCTACCCTATAAAACAAGGAGTTCCAAAATTTTCTTGAAACCCCATCAAAATTAAAGATTCATGGTGTTGCTATCACCAAATAGACCCAACATAAACTACGCTAAACAACCAATGTAAATGTAGTTCCAAAATTTTCTTGAAAACTACATCTAATTTCAAGATCCCTCCAATCTTCAATCCTTCCTCCTTAAAAAACCATTGCAATTTCAAGATTTTGGCCATGACCATGTGGACTTTTCTTCACCGGACTACTTGTTTCTAGAAGCATCCCAAATCTTCGAGGTGACATGGCACTACCTTTGGGTGATGTGGCACTACATTTGGGTGACAAACACATTTCTTCCATAGCACGTGCTTGTAGCTCCAAAGGGTAATCCCTTACACACCCAATGCGGGGCCCAGCTCCAGTTGTCCACCTGCAACTAAGTTGCTTACCCAATTGAAAAGACTTGTTTTCTTTATGAGAATTTATCCTCTTCATAATCTTCTCTTGTGTGACATGTTGTTCATCATATGCTCCATCTTCTTCACCATAATCAAATAGATTCTTTTTGGAAACCATAAGTTCAAAATCAGATAAAAACTGCTCAGCTGTGTCATAATCTGTAGTGTCTGATTCCGATTCCGATTCCGGTTCTGATTCCGGTTCCGGTTCTAGAGCTTGATTCTGGAAAGCCAAGATAACTTTTTCATTCTTTGGGATTTCAAGTTTGGTTATCTTTTCCTTCAAATCGGTTGATAAATATACACGATTTCTGCATCGATCTTTTCTAGAGTTCTTTCTTTGATACGTTTTGGTGTTTGTTTGTATTATGCCTTCAAAGATACTCGGTTCTGATACACTATTTCTCATACCAAATCCAGCAATTTCAAAACTTGCTTCTTCTTCTTTATTATCTGGGCTTTTCTGCAACATAGAAAAGTATACTTCAATACAAAATCCCATATAATAATACCAAATTAAAATATGATCAATTATTGTACCTTAACAGCATGAACATCAACATTGTGTTGCATAAGGAATGTTAAAAAGGCATCAAAGTTTTCTTCTGTAGGGAGATAATGTCCACTATGAGGCCAAACAGCCTGCAAAATCAAGCCAATTTTCACATTTTAATTACATTACATGTGAAAAACAACAATGTAATTTCAATTATTTGTTTATTAAAGCATTTAGCATTTTTAATTATTCAAACATATACCTTTAGAACACCATCTTTAATCACCACTCTTCCAGCAGATATTGTAGCTCCACCAGCTAAAAAACTTGAATGTTGAAATTTTCCTTTTTGTTTCATTCCAATATATAAAACCATTGATGTGCTAAGAACAAATATCCACTTAACATCATCCGGTTCACCCGTTGTATCTATTATAATCTTATTATGTTTGTACATAAATTTTCCATCTTCCACTATAACTTCATACGTCTCCCTTTCTGTCTGTAAATAGAAAGAAACACATTTGAGCAACCTACTTTTATGCAATTCAAGCATATAAAAATATAAAATTATAAAACTAAGGTTATATATATATATATATATATATATATATAAATTTTGTAAAACTTACTGGGCCTAGATATTTGATGCATTGTTGAAGAAGCTTTGTTCTTGAGCATCTTTCAAGGTTTACTTCTTTCCCTTCCCCTATGTCGAGCCTGAGATACCATAAAGTCGTAACTTTTTACAAATTTGCCCTTGTTTTTTCAAATACATAGAAAAAAGAACAAGGTCGATGTTCTTACCAATAGAAAAAGGGTTGTCTACTTTCACAATGAAGCCATTTGGCGTAATAAAATTGAAGATTATGACCATAACGATGTCGAGGATCAATCTGTTTTAATGAAAATAGTTTGATTAATAAAAATATTAAAAAAAGAAAAAAAGAAATAGAAGATATTTAGAAAGTAGAGTGAAGACTTACTGCTTCAAGCCAATGTTGTAAGGCAAGTTTACGAGCTTTTTCATTTTTTGATAACCCTTTTCCCACCTGTCGAGGATCAATTTGTTTATATTAGATCAACTTTTTTGCTTCTTGTAAAGATATATATAATTAAATTCTTTATTTTATGGGTATTTGTTATTTAGATAAAAAAAAAAAAAAAAAAGGAAGAAAGGAATCGAATTCCTTCCACCCTCAGAAATCCATCAGACAAGGAATTTGAAAGATTCCACTAGAATGGAATTCCGTCCATTTGACAACCAAACAAACATGACATGGAAATTGGAATGTAATCTTGAATTCCAATTCCGCCAGTTTCCATCGGAATCGACTTCTAGAAGAAATTTGTACCTTTGCAGCCCGAGTTCTTGCTCTTGACCAACGTGAAACAGCTGTTTCTGGTTTCTCAACTTCAAAGAATGATACTGAACTGCATTTCAGCTGAGCAAAATCCAAAAGCTTCCACCTACATAGAGTGTTAAGGAAAGTTAGGGTGTTTGGTAATAGAAGGAAGGAATGGAATCTGTCATAGGATTGGAATCTCAAATTCCAATTCCGTCTCCCGAATCAAATCCATGCAAATAATGAAAACTAACCATCTTTGCTCGACCAAAACTGCACAATCAGCTAACTGTCTTCTAGTTCTGAAACTTTTATAAGTTTTCTGCAACTTAAGAGCAGCAAGATCACGATTCATGGGTGACTTAGGTGATGGTGGGTCAGGTACATGTGTTTCCGGGTCGACCCGTTTTGTTTCAGGTTCAGGCAAAGTGCTTTCGAGGGTTGTTTTTGCAGGTTTTTGATATTTTTCAGTGGAAGAACGTTTAAAGGTAGATGCTTTTTTGAGTTCCCTCCCATTAAAGCTTAGAGACCCTCGGATCATACTGTTTGAACGAAATGATCTCATCTTTGCAGGTTTGGAAGAACGAATGTCGTCAAAGCTGAATGATCTTAACACTGTTCTTACATCTTTTTCTTTGAAACTTAACGATTTGGATATGATTGATTCGATGTGATCATCCAGGTCGTTGATATTTGCGTATGGCCATGAAAAAGATGACCCCATTTTCTTCAAACTGGTAAATTGAAGAAAGACACATTAAAGATTGAAAAAGAAAATCGAAAAAGTCGAAACCCATGTGCATAAATGCAAAATTCCCAAACCTATTTCAAGATTTTAGACAGAAATCATTCTAAACTGAAAAATGACAGGTATTATAGTCGATAAACACACATCATTTACTTTTAAGTAGGGATTGTTGTGTTGTAGTTTGAAACATAATTTTTTTACCATAAATCAAAGATTATTTGATTTTTTCTCAAATGAATCAAAACCCATTAGCAGAATCGCGAAACCTCAAAACCCATTTAAAATTTGGCCAGAAATCAACCGAAACCAAGAATGACATATACATATACATGTATGAAACAGAGAATAAATGAAAGATTAATACCTTCGATCGAGTATATTGCTAGTTGGGATAAGATCAGAATCGATTGACAGTGAGAAAAAGATTCAAAATATATTCAAATGGAATGAGAATCTCGAGGATGCAGCTGTGTATATAAGAGAGAGTGCAGAAATGGCGTTTCTCTCTCACACACAGCACCTACGGTGTGTGAAAATTGGGGTTTCTATCTGCCTTCTCGAGGATTTGGAGCAATGTGTTGTGGTCACTGAGATTTAAGCTTAATATAGAGATAAGAATCGGTGGAAGGAAACAGAGTGGCTCAAACTGCGGTTGCACTAACTGAGGAAGCTTCGTTCAGACAGAAGCAAGACGGAGACGAAGAATGAAAATCATTCGTCTTAAATATTCAACTTTTACGCTTTGAATGCACCATAACCACCACAAGTATTGATTTCTGTGAAATTATTTTATATTTTTTCATTTTCAAGTAAATATTATATTATTTTACGATATATTTTAATAAGAAATTGAGAAAAAATCCTAAAATTTTTATCTTAATTTACGAAAAAGTCCTAAACTAAATTTTGTTTACGAAAAAGCATGAATTACCGGTAAAAATGGCGATTTGACCCTTTTTTCCGGTTTACCGGTTTTATTACTTACCAATTTCACTAAAGTCCCATTATTTTACCTTAATTTGCGAATAAGTCCCAAATAAAATTTACTGATGATTTTGCCTTTTTCTCTATATAACATACATTTTACCGGTTTCATTGTTGACCCGGACGCCTAGTCATTAAATGAGATGATGAGATGGATATGTTGAGTTATATAATGTTATGTTTAGCATAAAACTTGATATCCTGATGTATTGTGTATTTTTTTGGAACATAAAATGCATCCAACGAAGACTACAATAATTACATAAACTAACAACAATTGCGTTAATTTTTACGTTTATAAGAAATATCAAACTGTTTATCTAATCTTATGTAACCCAATATATCCATCTCATCAAACATCAACTCATTTTCTGCCCTTTTTTCTTTGAAACACGCATTTTATTGGTTTCATTGCTGACATAGATACATAGTCATAAATGAGCCGATGAGATGGATATCAAATTTTACAGTAAATGTAGCATTATATAATCCATCGTATCCATCTTATCAACTAATTTAATGACTAGGTGGCTAAGTCATCAATGAAACCGATAAAATGTATGTTAAATGAAGAAAATGGTCAAATCATCAGTAAATTTTATTTTGGGACTTATTCGCAAAATAGGGTAAAATAATGGGACTTTAGTGAAACAAGTAAGTAATAAAACCGGTAAACCGGAAAAAATGGGTCAAATCGCGATTTTTACCGGTAATTCATGATTTTTCGTAAACAAAATTTAGTTTGGGATTTTTTCGTAAATTAGGGTAAAATTTTAGGACTTTTCTGGAGTTTTCCCTAAGAAATTTTGACTAAAACTTGAAATATATTTTTGAACAGCACAAATTTGATTTAAATATGTATTTTACTTGTTAGTTTCTTTTTATTTACATAAGAAACTTGTGATTAATTTGTATAATAAATTTTAAATCAAATTATTGAAATGGTCCTTGCGGTTTGTAAAAATTTTATGTTCAATCTTTATTTTTATTTTTGCACTATAGGCATCTCCTATTTTTTTTTACTACACGTTTGGTCCCTGCTTCCATTAGCCGTTAGCCCCCTTTGTTAAGAGCTACCACGTGTCTGGCACACCAGGGATAATTTTGTCATTTTATCCAAAAAAATCTTTAGGGATGTTAAGATACATATACGTTATCAAAAACCCCTCCTTCACATCTTTCTCATTCCTTGTCATTACGTTATCAAAAACCATTTTCGAACGATAATGTCATTTTCAATGGCCAAAGCATACAACCCATTGTCAAAATATGAAAATGGTATTTTGAAGTGATAATAGAGCAACTTACCCTCCTCAACACAATCAAACGTCTACATCATGTCGTCAATATCATGAACACGAAATGTATCAATGTCCAGTAGATCAATATATTTTTCTTTGCCCTTCACGTATTTTCTCCCAGGAAACTTTGTAACTCTCCACCATAGTGCAATCTAGTGGAGAATACACTAGGATGACTGACTATGAAGAAGAAAACTTAAGCTTAGTCTCTTATATTTGTGATTAAATTGAATATACTGAACAAGAGAAATGACGTACCATGTACTTCTGTAATGTCAATGTCATCCATATATGCTCTAATCTTCCACCGAACCATTGTTGTTTTCTCAAAATTTGAAGGATGTTGAGAATTTAGGGCTTTTCAGAAATTAAAATGGAATGAGAGTATGGGTTCTTTTTTTGACGTGAAGAAGATAATGATCAGAATGGGCACCGATGATTGCTAATACCATTTAGGCGCCATGAATAAAATGAAAAAATTACCCCTATTATGCCAGGCACATAGGGGCTCTCAACGGAGGGTGCTAACGACTAATAGACGCAGGGACCAAACATGTAGTAAATAAAGTGGGGAATGCCCAGAGTGCAAAAAATAGGGACCAAACATGAATTTTTGCAAACCACGTGGACAATTTCAGTAATTTGTTCTAAATTTTAGATTAAATTACAGAAATAGTTGTTGTTGTTGTAGTTGTCTACTTTTACACTCCATATTTTTTTATTATGATTTTATTTTGTTTCATAAATGGTATATCTGTTTAACTTCATCGATTTTCCTGTTAAAGTTACAAAAACATTATTTTTTCTTGTATTTTAAAATTATTATTTTATTATTATTTGTAACATCTTATCTTTGGGGTTAGAAGTTTTGGGCTTTTATGTAAAAATATATTTTTTTAAATAAAATAATTTGAAGAGAACTAAATAAATAGAGGTAATGATTTATAATAATAACGATAATAAACCTTGTTACTAGTTTAAATTAAAATATGATAAATTTTGGCATTAAAATGATACTTTTGTAGTAAGGGACCAATTATGCCAAATTCGAGAAACTTGTGTTTGACTCGATAATTGACCAACTAAATTATTAGGACCATGTTTGCATATGTTATGATGGATAAGGACTACTTATGAGCTATTATGTAGCACCTGGTTCCTGGTATGTATTTCATTTAAGTAATTTTTCATTTTTGGCCTGGGACTCGGCGAGTTGATGGCCCAACTCGCCGAGTAGAAGCGGGATAGAACGCGGGATTTAAGTTTGGGACTCGTCGAGTCGGGTCCTGGACTCGACGAGTAGGCTCTGTCTGGACAAAAACCATAATCTGAGGGTTTGCACCCTATTTAATCATCTCATTTAGCCCCCACTCGTCCCTATTGCTCCCAGAAACCCTCCATAGCAAACCCTAAGTGTTTTGGTGCAAGATCTAAGGCTTTTGAGTGATTTTTGTGGATTTTGACTACAAGGAAGAAGGAAAAGCATAGAAGGATCAAGAGGAGGCTAAAGGATTCGAGTTTGGTGCATCATTTGCTGTTCACAGAAGGTATAAAGTCTATACCTTGCTTGTTCTTTTGTTAGATCCCTTTTTGGGGAGATTTAGGGCTTTTATAAGCCATTCTTGGTGACCAACCATGATTGCAAGCATGGTTGGGGGTTGAAGCTTCGGATCTAGGTCCATGGAAGGGTCACAAGGCAGTTAGGGGTTGCTTTTGCACCCATGGAAGGCCCCATGCATCTTAAGAGCTTCTTTTTGGGCATTTTTAGGCTCAAAGTCCCATGCATGCACGTAAAGTTCGTAACTATCGTCCTGCTACAACTCATGGGACTCGACCCATGACATCACTTCTCAATCTGCTACTTATCATGGTACTCGAACCATGACATCACTTCTCAATGCTCAAATACCGGCTCATGCGTGCCTGCTCAGACGACACGTGCTCAGGGCAAAACAACGTCCTCTCGTGAAACATCTGTGTAATCACAGTCACGGACTCCGTCCCCTGCTTGAGGGACAAGAACTCCTGTGCCAACCGTTCCCGCTCCAACGGGGGAACATACTCGTCTCTGAACATGGTGGTGAACCTCTCCCAGGTCACCTCCGAAGTCTCTTGCAAGAGTGAAGTTCACCGCCACGAACTTCCACCAGCCCTTCGCCCCCAAGCGAAACTGGTTCGGTGCAAACCGAACCCTCAGATGCTCCGGACACGAACAGGTGTAGAAGCATCCCTCGATATCAGAAATCCATCTCATCGCAGCAATCGGATCCTGCGTCCCATAAAACTCTGGTGGCTTCGTGTTGCTGAACTCCCGGAACAGCATCGAGTCACCCCCCCTGAGGTCTAGCAGGAGCCACAGCTGCAGTAGCTGCAGCAGCCACAGCCTCAGTAACTGCTGCGTATCTCTTGTCGAACGTCTCAATCAAAGTGGTCTTGATAGACCCAAACATCCACGGTATCTCTGTGCGGATAGTCGCAGCCCCTTCGTCGTGGATCATCTGACGAAGCTCCTCGTCACTGGTCTCTGGTCTGTGGCGTGTCCCAACCATGATGTCTCCGAAATACAACATAAAAATAAAAATAAAAAATCAGAGACTCACTCGAGTGTACTCGCACTCGATAACTCAGCCCTACTTGTTCCTTAGTACCATAAGGATTCTTACTTGGACTGCGCACTGATCCGATGTTTCCAGTAGTACGGGCCCAATACTACCTTCCACGCCGCATCAGCATTCATTCCAAGTCCTCCTCCTAGGATCCCAGACCACAAGTACTCTACATCTCGCTAAGCATACGCTACCCTTCGGTAGACTTCTCATAAGCTCCTCACTGCTACCTACTCACTCTCGAAGCATCTCATAGCAGCAGTAATCTCCTAGGCTAAGGCATCACAAATCAGGCCACTCTAGTCCTAATATGAATACCTAGCCTACTCTAGCATGCATAACATATCATATCATATCTCATAACACATAATGTAAGGGTATTTTGGGAAATCACCGTTCGGGCGCTGGCTGATCGTACACACTGCTCCGTTCTGCCTTTCTCATAATCTTTTACTCTTTTAGAAAAATTATTTCTTTTCTGAAAATTCTTACTCAAATCTTCAGTTTGAGTTCAGATACGCCCGAAGGTGCATCCGAATCCCTCAAACCAAGGCTCTGATACCAACTTGTAACAACGTAAATTTTCAAACAATTTTTCATTTTTAAAACATAATTCATTCATAACAAAACCCATTGTATCACATAATATCTCAATGAACAACCCCAGAATCTCAAGGTCATAAATCTTCATCAGTGTGTACAGACCATGCCGGCGCCTTCCCGCGATCCTCGCTAGTACCTGAAACACATAACACAACAACTGTAAGCATAAATGCTTAGTGAGTTCCCCAAATACCACATACAACACATACGCCTTTCCAGGCCATAACTCTGTGGGATCTTCCGATCCAAGTGTCTCAGGGGACTTCCGTCCCGAATCCCGGTAGACCTTCCGGTCCTACCCGTATCGACCTTCCGGTCCGTAACCTCCTGACCTTCCGGTCCATGTCATCTTGACCTTCCGGTCCATATCATCTTGACCTTCCGGTCCTTACCATACATAACATACATAGCACATACATATCACCTAACCGCATATAGCACATACATCTCATAGCATACAAGACCTTCCGGTCACACATAGGTACCCTTCCAGGTACAGTATAGTGAGAAGACTCACCTCCCATGATGTCTAGTAAACCTTCTGGCTTGATAACCTCGATCGAGCCTCCGCCTAACACATAAGGCAAACATCTCTAATTAATACTTTCTCTTGTTCTCATCTCTAATAATGGGTAGAAGACCATTCTACCCCTCCCTGACCTCTCTTGAATCAGCTTGACCAAGACCCCCATGGTCAACTGAAGTCAACTCTAGTCAACGGTCAACTTTAACCAGACTCGTCGAGTGCACTCAGGTGACTCGGCGAGTCCATGCTTGTCCTCTGAATCCTCCTAAGGTCTCACTCGACTCGTCGAGTTAACCTTTCACTCGACGGGTTACCACTGGTCACGAATCGCAGGGCAACCCGACTCGACTCGTCGAGTCCCCATATGGACTCGGCGAGTTCCCTCCATGGCATCACTCAAATGACCTTCTGAGGTCAGATCTGTTTCTCTAACTTATAGATCTGACCTTCTTACACCCAAATATCACATAAAGGTTCAAACTTTAAGCTCATGCAACACTCTTATGCCCTTATATGAAGAAATAGCTCCTAAAATGGCAACCTAGATCCATATCTCCAATGGAACAGCATAAAGCATAATGGTTGGGACTCTATGGACCTCTTAAGGTCCATATCTAAGACTTATTCCACCTTGGGACCTCATAAGCTTCGAATCCAAGCTAAAGAAGGAATAAGAAAACCCTAGATTCAAGAAAACCACCAAATACACGAGAATGAGTATAGATTCATACCTCCTACAGCAGTCCCATGCGAAGAGATGCTAGATCCACTACCCTCATCTCGTTCCTTGCTTGAGTCATGCTCTTTTCCTTCCACAAAACCCACCAAATTACTTGATTTCATCATAAGAACTCTCCCAAGGCTCCAATGGCGATTTAGGGTTTCTCACAGGAGATATGAGGCGCATCCAAGGTCATAAGTTCCTTTAAATAGGCTCCAACCTCGGAACTTAGGGTTTTCTCTGCCCAGCACCTAGGGGTGTTCACGGGGCGGTTCGGCTCGGATATTAATAAAAATTGTGAACCGTGACTACGGGGCGGGTACCTCATGTGCACTACCCGAAACCGAACCGAATTGGCAAAAAAACCGAACCGAACCGAACCGTATGAAGACGGGTAACCACGGTTCGGTTCACAGATACCCGCTAAATATACACGTCAAATTTAATCCTAACTACA